GAAACATACCAATTTGAAAAACTAACGGAATGCATAGTCGATATAAAAACTGAATGACGAATAATTTCTTACTGCTAAATTCTGAAAAAACAGAGATGTTAATTATCGGACCTAAAAACTCTGCATGTAATAACCTAGAACACTGTCTTAAGACTCGATGGCTGCTCTGTCAATTCTTCGTCATCAGTTAGTAACCTAGATGTGCTATTTGATAGCAATCTTTCCTTTGAAAGCCACGTTTCTAGCATTTGTAAAACTGCATTTTTCCATCTCAAAAATATATCTAAATTACGACCTATGCTCTCAATGTCAAATGCAGAAACGTTAATTCATGCGTTCATGACCTCAAGGTTAGATTATTGTAATGCTTTATTGGGTGGTTGTTCTGCACGCTTAATAAACAAACTCCAGCTAGTCCAAAATGCAGCAGCTAGTGTTCTTACTAGAACCAGGAAGTATGGGAGATACCATCAGAAAACACGGTGTTAGCTTTCACTGTTATGCTGATGATACTCAGCTCTATATTTCTTCGCGGCCCGGCGAAACATACCAATTTGAAAAATTAACGGAATTCTGAAAAAACAGAGGTGTTAATTATAGGACCTAAAAACTCTGCATAACTGATGACGAACAATTAACAGAGCAGCCATCAAAGTGTTAGACAGTGTTCTAGGTTATTACATGTGGAGGTTTTTGGTCTAATAATTAAAACCTCCACATGTAATAACCTAGAACACTGTCTAACACTTTGATGGCTGCTCTGTCAATTGTTCGTCATCAGTTAGGAACCTAGGTGTGCCATTTGATAGCAATCTTTCCTTTGAAAGCCACATTTCTAGCTTTTGTAAAACTGTATTTTTCCATCTCAAAAATATATGAAGAGTTTGGTTCCAAAACGCTATAAATCCGTTTTGATTAATTTGAAATTTTATTATTTTTTCCCCAAAATGCAATAAATCCATGGCGCATTTTTAATTTAAAAAAAAAAATGCAATAAATCCATTGAATCAATATAAACGTTATTTTTCATATTGAAACTGTTGAAAATACACAACATGGTTAATCCATATATGACAGCCTCTGAACTTGGTCAATACTAATATACAGGCACTGGACTAAAAATACATTCAATCAGTCATCGCTCCCAAAATGAATTCAGCGGGTCATCTTGTTAATGCTATAAATTAATTACAGCAATAAAAGAAAATTACATCATGAACAAGAACATGAACAGCAATATCACATTAGACCACAGAAATTCCAAAATTACATTTCCCTTACATTCAACTTCCAAAAGTGCATTCATCTTTGCCATGTGACATTCATTTCACAAGTGCTATACGCTGTATTAACAAAAACATAAATGGCATTAACAAAAACATAAATGGCATTGATAAAAACACTTACTGACAAGCTACGCAATATCGCGTTCATAATCAAATGCGACTCATCTGCGATTATGAACGTGATATTGCATAGCTTGTCAGTGATCTACGGCTCTGTGTATCCATCTGAAAGCACGTGATGGAGATTTACTAATAATCATAGAACTGGCTTTACCGACGAGATGCACATGACAATCACATGTGATTTATCGCAGCCCTAAGTTTGTTTGTTGATCACAAAGTAGATGAGGAAAACTAGGATGCCGGGTGAATTCAAAGCGCCGCCATTACTGTCTAGAGTGTGTGGAATGGTGTGCTGTGATTGGTTGAGCGGATATATCGCATTCTGCAGAAAAGGGAGACAGGCATTTGTCGCGGTTTGGAAACAAAGGGAGAAAAAAATTACAGAACAACTCGGTGGATATCGCATTTTGCGTAAAATTAAAAATGTACTTTTCAATACCGACCAGATACAATACTGATTTTGGCGGAAACTAAAAAAAAAAAAAAGGCGTTTATCGCTAAATTACGATCTATGCTCTCAATGTCAAATGCACAAATGTTAATTCATGTGTTCATGACCTCCAGGTTAGATTATTGTAATGCTTTATTGGGTGGTTATTCTGCACGCTTAATAAACTAGCTGTTGCATTTTGGACCAGCTGGAGTTTGAGTTCTTACTAGAACCAGGACGTTCTGTCAACACTGCACTGGCTACCTATTAAACATTGTATAGATTTTATCAAAATCAACTGCGGGCGGCAGATCCTTTTCCTATTTAGCTCCGAAACTCTGGAATAACCTACCCAACATTGTTAGGGAAGCAGATACACTCTTGTCAGTTTAAATCTAGATTAAAGACCCATCTCTTTAACCTGGCTTACACATAACACACTAACACATTTTACTATTGTCCTTTTGCATTATTGACACTATTTTCCTAATTAATGCTGTACAGTTGCTTTGACACAATCTGTATTGTTAAAAGCGCTATATAAATAAGGTGACTTGACTTATTATTATTGTTGATATTCCTTAGAGATATATTAAATGATGGGAAATTAATTGTGCTCAATAACAACGTTAAACCTACACCAACTGGATGACCGTTATAAGCTGCCGGCACGTGATTAATTCTGGTCAATGAGACTAATGACCTGTCTTTTGTAATCATCTGATTCTCCCAGCAGCTCTTTTCTCTCTCCGGTCAGGTAAGCGTTTTAACTGAGAAATATCTGAGGAGTTGTCCGTTAACTTTCTAAAAAATCATCAGAATTGTGGTGAATTGATTGATTAAGCAGGGCTTGACATTAACTTTTTTTGCTCACCAGCCACTGTGGCTAGTGGTTTTCCAAAATTACTAGCCACTCAGCATTTTCACCGGCCATAATTTTGTTGTTGGGAAATTACATTTTATATGACTAAAGTTACTGCATACTAAAATTTATTTAAATTGATTTCCAGGTCATTGTTTTGTCTATTTAAAGGGCATTTTTAACCATATTACCCTAACCGTTTTAAATGAATACATCATCTTTCATATTAAATTCTTACATTTTATTAATAATTTTACTTAATATAATTTTAAACTCTATAGGGCTGTTACCAATCCAATGAAATCAGTATTAACAAAAACGATCTTTCCACCGCAGAAGAAACAGAAGCAGCTGAATGGGCATTTAGATGCATTCACACTTTATGAATGGACCACTGAATCATTGACTCAAATGATGAATTAAAAACGCTAAATCATTCAGTAACGAAACTCCACTGTGTTGCTCAAATCGAGCAAAATATTGTACTGTATATTAACTACTCGTTCGAACTCTTGTATAAAATCAATGTCAAATTTGCAATTGTGGTTTTCATGACACGTTAAATAATTTACTGCAGTATGTTTCTTGTGCATGCAGTTGCGTTCATTTGCTATGATTTCTCCACAAGATTGTTGTTTTAAATACAAACAGGCTGCGTAAGCCTCAACTGCACAACCTTGTTCCTGTCAATACATTATCCATTATCAATCGCCGTTTACACCAAAAGTAATAAAATCAGAATCATTCTCACCGAAATTTCCGTGATTCCCTAATTAAATGTTTTAATCAGATTAGTTGTCCATAGGGATGTAACGATATCAAAATCTCACGACACGATAATATTGCGATATGAAGTCCAAGATACGATATTTATTGTGATAATTAAAAAATAAAAGACAAATGAAGAATTGGGGGGAAAATTTTAATTTTGTACATTTTAAAGTTAAATTATTGTATCTAATGCACTTTGAGAGTTAAAAATTAAGAGCTGCAACTCATGTTCTTAACTAAGAAACTTAAGTCAGAAAGTCAGTGAATTGACTTGTACCCGAACTTTAAAGACCTAGGATTCTACCAAGACAATAGTTTTAAACTAAATAAATTAATGCTGTAGTTAGTGCCAGTTTTTACCATCTTTGCTGGTTTTTAAGCAGGTGAAGTTTTAAAACTATCATCTATACTTTTATCTCTACACGATTAGACTACTGTATGTTGGGTTACCTCTTTCCTTCATTTCTCCTCTCCAAATGGTGCAGAATGCAGCAGCCCATCCACTCACAGGAACCCGTAAACGTGACCATATCACACCAGTCCTACACTTGGTTACCAGTCCAATACCGAACTGATCTAAAAAGGCTTTTCTTTGATTACAAAGCTCTTAATAATTTACCCTCTATCCAATCTGCTTGTTACAGCACTTATAATCCATCTAGATCACTTCAGTCTCGAAACAACTGTCACCTCCTCTTTGTTCCATGATTGAGCCTTCTCTCCTGCGTTTGCTGAATTAAAATCATTTTTTTAAATGTATCTGTTCTTTGTAACTTTTATCTGTCTCATTTTTATTTATTATCGTTCTAATCTATATACAGCACTTTTGGCCAACCAAGGCTTGGTAACATGTCTAACCATAATAGGAGGGCAGGAACTCTCAGACATTATTTTGTTGTGAAACAAATAAACTCTGTCCCCATCTAGCCTTCAGTAAGATAAAAATAAAATCAGTTGTGTTAACATTACGAGGTGTACGCTAAACACAACAAAAGAACAGGCATACAGTTGTGTTTGTGCAACTCTTTGGCTTTCATCACACATCTAACAGATGTCTGTGTATGTTTGACAAATCCACATTCCCAGACAGCACAGTGTAAAGAAACAATGACAGTGAAAACATAAGACTTCAAGAGTGGTATTGTAATGGGGCTGACGAGACGTGAGACGTGTGGATCCATCTGCAGGCTTTATTAAAGAGAAGTGGTAAACAGGCAGGGTCAAACAATGGCATGCTGCGTTATTTGATTTTCGTGAGATTAAAATTAGCATTGTCAGATTATTTTAATCATAAACACAACGTTTCAGTAATTGTAGTTTCATCATCTGTAAATGAAACATGTCTTTGCTATATTAAATGATTCCAGACTCATTTTAACCAGTACATGCATATATATATAATTACTTGAGAATGTATAGTTAATGTATTGAACTGAAAAGCACTTGGTTATCCTTGGAGTTCAGCGATCCTGAAATGCTGATATTCATGGTTGCGCGGGTGGCAGTGGGACTTCAGTTGGAGGGTTTGGCTCACTGGTAATCTTTAAATCACGGCAGAACAACACTGATTCTTGACCAAGACCCAGTTTGTACTGCCACAGATATACAGACTCATGTGGCTTCAGGTTTAATGTGAGTTGCTCTTCCTCTTCAGTTGCTTCATTCCATCTTTCGTTTTCAGTGCTGACATGTGAACCTCCATATTCTGCAGAAAAGGAGAACTGTAACTTCGCAATTAACTTTGCAAGCTGTCCAGATTCAACTGAGGCTGATGCAGCTATCTTCCAGTTGTGAGTGATCTGGGTCATCTTCTCCTTATTGTATCCAACCTTTTTAGTGATCCTCTTTTGCCATGTCACCGGTGTATTGCTGTCATTTTTTATCGTTTTAATATTCTCCCACATGCCAATGGCTGGGCCTTTAGTTACAGACAGCCCACCAGGAAGGAAGTTAAGAACATCAGGATGAACAGAATAGACAGCAGTGCGCCTGTCTTTGCCGAGATAAGGAGCATGGCAGAACTCAACACCCCACTCTGAGGCGGGCTTGAGGAAGGAGAAGCACATGCCGAATAGTTTTATGTGATGCAGCTCCCAGTAATACAGACCGTCTCTGAAGTCTGGATGCAGGGTGTGTACTTCAGCATCCGAGTCAAGATTCATGTCAGTTGTTACTCGTAAAGTACCCTTTTCTTGGAAGATGATGTAAAAATATCTATGGGCTGCGAAGTAGTGGTCTCCACCCTGACAGTTGGGATGAAGTTTGTAAACTACAGCATTGCTGTCTGTTGACAGATCGGTGACTCTGCGGCAGGAATTGCCCTTGATGATGTGAAAGGAGCCTTCGCTATCACCAAGGTAATGGTCTCCATTTTGGCAGGCAGGGTGCAGACTGAAAATAGAAGAAGTCAAACATTCAATCAACTGCACACACCCGATAGAATGCTGTTATTTTAGTCATTCTATAGATTGAGCTCACTGATTACTGAAGGGAGATCATCAAAATCCCCTTGTCTTCTATATATGCATGTATATATCCTTTTTTACATGCTTTACATGTTAACCTTGGGAGATATCATCAGGAAACACGGTGATAGCGTTCACTGTTATGCTGATGATACTCAGCTCTATATTTCTTAGCGGCCCGGCGAAACATACCAATTTGAAAAACTAACGGAATGCATAGTCGA